CCTGAGAGTTTTCATGTATTTTAAATTTATATCTTCAAAACATCTAAGAATATGTTAATATTTACTCCAATATGAGAACAGAATTGAACCAAAAGTTTGGTTTATAATTCTTAATCAGTTACTTTTTACTTAAAGACTTAGGTGATATTTTCCTGACTTTTTGAAGAAAGCTCCAAAAGCTGGTTGTCAGAATGCCTATGTTTCTTAATCTGCCTATTTTGTAATTCAGAGTTATATAATAGTAATGACACACCAGAATGTATATAATTATACTTAATTTTTAAGTTGGCTTTCAAATTGAAAAAGGAAAAAATCCTGGAGTTCTTTAAAGGCACACATAATAGAGTTCATATATTAATTTCTAGGAAATGAATAAAGATGCTATGGTCCATTTCAGTCTAGTCTTTACTATGTAATATACATTTATGATTTGTAAGTTTGTTATTCAACTGGATAATAATAAATGGACACAAAATTCATGTTTTTTGTTTCTTTGAAGATTTTATTTATTTATTTGAGAGAAAGCACAAGCAGAGGAAGGGGCAGAGGGGGAGGGAGAATCAGACTCCCCACTGAGTGGGGAACCTGACATGGGGTTTGATCCCAGGACTCTGGGATCATGACCTGAGCTGAAGGCAGACGCTTAACTGACTGAGCCACCCAGGCGCCCCAAAATTATGTTCTTTTTTTTTTTTTTAGGATTATTTATTTGACAGAGAGAGAGAGAGAGCACAGCCGGGGGGGGGGGCGGTGCAACAGGCAGAGGGAGAGGGAGAAGCAGGCTCAACAGAACAGGGAGCCTGATGTGGGGCTCTATCCCAGGACCCTGGGATCATGACCTGAGCCGAAGGCAGAAGCTTAACCAACTGAGCCACCCACGTGTCCCCAAAATTCATGTTCTTAACAAGCAAATTTTTTTTTTTTTTTTGTCAAACATAAGTTAAAAAACTGATTTATGGGGCGCCCGGGTGACTTAGTCGGTTAAGATCTGACTCTTGATTTTGGCTCAGGTCATGATCTCAGGGTCGTGAGGTCAAGCCCCGGGTGGGGCATTGAGTCCACTTATGATTTTCTCTGCTCCCCCCCACCCTGAATCCCGCCTTTCCCTCTCACTCTCTCTCTCTCAAACAAAACAAAACAAAACAACAAAAACCAAAACCCAAACCTGATTTAAATATATATTAGCAATGTCGTAAGTTTAAGAAATCTATAACATCCTGACATTTCTTGAAAAGCCTGTGAATATGAGATATAAGGGAATCCAAACACTACTTCTGGAGTTTTTGATAAAGTCTCAATCATATGTTCCTACTCTGTATAAGGAGTTAAATCTACTTCACTGGGTTATTGGAGGAATTATGTTGCGAAAGGACATTGTAAAAAGAAACATCCATATGTAAAGAATCATTAATATAATCACTGTCCTGATCTGGGATCCCCCATAACTTCTGGATGACTTTATCTTCCTCCAGAGGGAATTCTAGCAGGCAGTATATTTTTTAAGATTTTATTTATTTATTTGAGAGAGAGAGAATGAGAGACAGAGAGCATGAGAGGGAGGAGGGTCAGAGGGAGAAGCAGACTCCCTGCCGAGCAGGGAGCCCGATGCGGGACTCGATCCCGGGACTCCAGGATCATGACCTGAGCCGAAGGCAGTCGCTTAACCAACTGAGCCACCCAGGCGCCCAAGATCTTCTTAGTACACTTAGGGATTAAGCCAATTTGCAGCTGACCATCTGTCTTTGTGAGGGCTGGTCTATTTCCAGTTCACCTCTACTCTCAGAGTGCAGCACTTTAGGGATCCCAAAGGCAAGCTATGGGTGTGTGTGCTGGGGCTTCTCCCTGGGGACCCTGGACTCCTGCCTTTGTCCCCTCCTTCTGTCATCCTTCCCACCCCTATATGATTGCTGAAAGTACTGTTCAGCTTCTCAGCTACAGCTTTCAGCCCAGTTTCTTAGCCTCCAAGGCACTGCTTGCTAATTAGCAAACACTTCCAGTGGAAAAGTAGTGCCAGATATAATCTCTCAGCTTCCAAATCTTGGCCTTTCAAGTTCTGGCTGCTTTGATAGTTCTCCAGTGACTTGAAACAGATTTTTAAAATATTATCCCCCAGCTTTTCTAGTTGTTTTTGTGAGAGGCTTGGTCTATAGCTAGCTAATCTGTCTTTATCAAAGGCAGAAATCTGACCTTGGAGTAAATCATTTAACTTCTTTGAGCCTCAGTTTTTTTCATCTATAAAATAAGATGATCTAAAGGAAAACATTTCCTAACTTGTATGGTACATCGATGTAGTCTATATGGCCCCAAAGTACTTTATACTCTCCTCTTACGTGGAAACAAGGCATCTGAAAGTGATACCATCAAATAGTTTAGCCCCATTCAAGAACTGCAACTCAGCCAGGCTGTTAATGGGAAGAATTACTCAGTGGCATGTACATAGTTGAAATAGTGGCAACATTGCAACACTTCCTAGAAATTGTATTAAAAGATATAACATAATGATATAACTGTTAAGTTAGCCGAAGTATAGATGTATGTACATTCAAGGGGTGAAATTGAAAGACAAGTGTATTCTTCTAGATCCTCTCTCTATTAAAACTGACTCTGTGGGTAGTCCTTGCCCCTTTGGCTGAAATCTCAGGTCCTGGCCTTGAATTTTCTGCTCATTCCTAACCCTTAGCTTCTAATTTCTCTCTCTCTTTTCTTGTTCCTCTGTGCCCACTCACTAGGATGCCTCTGGCTCCTCCATGGTTTGGGGATGGTGGTGGGGAGGAGAGGCAATGAGTAGAAAGTTCTGTTTGGTCTGATACTGTTGTGAGTTGGCATTAATGCTGACTCATTCTTTGGGGGTGTTTTGGAGGAACTTCCCACCCTCTTATTTTTTGGGGGATCTCTTGATGTGACTGGGCTGTTGAATTCATCTCCCTCACTCTCTAGGAATCTAGTGGTCAACTCCATTGGGGTGTCACTTCACCCCTCCAGGAATTTCCCTGGACAGTGTCTAAGACCATTCCCTAGCCAAATTGCTGCATGAGAAATACATGGGAGATACTCTGGGCATGAATGACTTCTCCAAATTGATCTCTCTTCGCTCAGCTATCTGGCCACAAGCCATTGGATTTCTCAGGATGAATCAACACCCTGCCCAGGCACCAGTCTGGAGGGATACATACATACCCAGCTCTCTAAGTGGTTCTGCAGCAGCAGGCCTTTCCTGAGACATGAGATGGGAGGCGCTCACAGCACATTGACATCGGTCCCCCTATATCCTATCAGAATTCTCTCAGCCTCTCCAACTTCTTTCATAGACTGGAAGTCATACACGGATTTCTAGACCCCTCTTTCATAAGTTTGTATTTTTCTTAGCATGGTCATGGATGTTCTCAAGATAACCCAGGCTGGAGAGGGAAAAGTGAGGTGCTGCCCTCACGTGGTCTTACAGGCAGAAACACCAAGGAGTAGGTGGAGTGAAAACAGGAAAGGTCTGTCTGGTCAGAGCTCACTGGAGATACATTCCAGGGCTCCCAGGCATAAAGGGTAATGAGGACTGGAGGCTTCCGTCAGCAGAGGGGTCAAGAACTAGTGAATATGGATTGCCATCTTTAATGGGACCCTATTTGTACCCACAAGATTATGGGTGGCTTGGGAAATGGAGGTTATGTACAAAAAAAGTACAACAAAGAAAATAAAATTCAACTGTAACCTGCCACCCTGAGTATATGTGTTTGTGTTGCGTGTGTAGAAAATTGCTGTAATAGTTACGTTTATGACATATCATGAACACTTCCCTTATTTAATGTCTTCCAAAACATATTTTTTAAATGGCAGCCTAGTATTCCACTGCATGGATATGCCACAATTTACACAATTTATTTTTAGACTTTCAGGTAATTAAGTTCTTCCCTATTATATACAATCCCATAATGAATAATTTGCAGTCTAAGTCTTTGTGTACAGCTCTGATTATTTTCTCGTGATAAATTAACAGATGTGGAATTTACTGGGTAAATATCTGTTTATTTTTCTTCATGTTCCTAATACGCATTGCCACATTTTCCTTTAGGAAAACTATATTTATTTAGCTCCTACCAGCGGTGTATGAGGGTGTCTGATAAAAGCCATTTTATATGAAAACCTCTGTTGGGTGAAAATTATCCAGTATTGATGATCAGAATCTGGGCAGGACCATGCTCTGAGCGCTGAGGGTTAGAAGGCTGCCCCTGGCAGGAATCCGTGAGAACCAGCCTCCTCAGTTTCGTGTCCCGAGGAGCAAGTTCCTGCAGACCCGCTTACCAAGAAGCTTTCTTAGATTTTGCAAACGCACACCAAAGCAGATCCAAAGACAGCTCGGCTAAGACACTGGGACAGGACCCTTTCCACCCCGCTCCCCGGCTCAATTTCTTCCCGGTCAGCGGGTGGTATAATCTCTGCCCTGTCAGCGCCTCCGGGCTGTCGTGGGACTCCAAGGAGATGAAAACACGAAGGAGCGTAGTGCATTCGTGTATTACTAAAAATAGAATGCGAGGGGAGGGAGGGAGAAGCACAACGGCACTGCACGGCTGGGGGCCAAAGGCAGAGAGGCTCTGAGCGCGCCCGGGGGCGGCGGTCGGCAGCAGGATCCAGAGGCGATTGCCCGGCTCTCGCGGGCCCTCCCTCGGCTCCGCCCCCGCTCCACTGCAGACCACTCCCCAGGGATGGCCCCTCCTCCTCCAAGGCCTCTCCCCCCCCCTCTGGCCCCGCCCCCACCGCAGACTCTCTCCCCCCCCCCCCCGCCCCGCTCCGGCCCTGCTCTCACTGCAGGCCCCCCTCCCACGTCGGCCCCGCCTCCGCTACAGACCCCTCCCCCGTGCCTGCCCCTTCCCCACGGCAGACCCCTCCCTAGCAAGGGCCCCGCCTTCATTACAGACTCCTCCCCCGCGCCGGCCCCTCCCAATCACAGGCCCCACCCGCGTCGGGCCCACCCCCCATTCACTAATCCCTCCCCTGGAGGGCCCCACCCCCGACCCCTCCCGGAAGCGCCGGCGGAGCGTCCCCACATGGAGCGGGAGCCGAGCGCCTCCAAGGCGGCCCCTGCGGCGGCCGCGCTCTTCGCCTGGGTACGTGACTCCGCCCCCGGGCCGGGGCCGCTGGGACTGAGGGGGCGCAGAGGCGCGGGGAGCTGGCGGCCTCGGTGTGGGCGTTCCTGGGCTGGGCGGCCGAGGTCCGGGCCAGGCTCTGGGTTGGAGGACCCTGGGCTGGGGCCTGAGGGGGAGAGGGTCGGGAGGGGGGGGCCCTCACGGTGACTTAGGGGCCTGCTGGCTGGTGGGGTCCGGACCCGAGGGGGCTGCGGCGCAGCGGAAGGCATCTGGCTCCTGGGCAGAGCGTCTGATTGCGCGAGAGCCTTCAGGCCCGGATAGCGCCGGGAGGGACGGCGTGGAGGGATCGCCCCGTCCCGGAGCCCTGTGGGGCCACCTGTGCTCCTCACCCTCCGGTTGCCCGCAGGATGCCGGCCCCTTCCAGCCCCGCCCCAGCCTGGCGGGAGCATCCTTTGATGCGAGGCCTGCGGTGGTGGGCCGTGCACAAGGCGGAGATCCTGCATGTTTGCTGATACTCTTCTGTGACCGGATCTTGCCTGTACTGGGGGCGTGAGAGTCGTGCGCCGGTGTTGGTTTGACGGCGGCACTGAGAGACAGGGTCATCTTCATGTGTCCTGGCTAGGAGAGAGGAGGGGCTCTGCACAGCAGTGTGGTGCCAGCGGCCGACCAGACAGATGCATGGGAATAAGCGGACATCGTGTCTTGTAGTTCTTTACAGCCCATATCACAATTGTAATGAAATGTAGAATTTGTTAATGTCCGTCTCCTTGGCTAGAATGTAAGTGTCATAAGGGTGGGTATTGTGCCTGTCTTGTTCACGGTGCCTAGCAAATACTTGTTGACAAATGAATGAATGAGACCCTTTTGTGTGCCTGGCTATGTGCTGGTCATTTGGGAAAAACACAAAAGTGAAAGGCCTAGCTCTTGAGTTGAGGGAGCAGGATACCACCTGTATTACCGTTAAAACGAACGTGTATTGACTAGTCGAACAAAGGTGATAATCAGTACCAAGCAGCACTGGTTGAATGTAAGGCGGAAGGGAGAGGGCGGTGTGGCCGGAGGTAGCCTGGCTGTCTGGGTACTATTTTTGAGGTGGCACTTGAGCTGGGGGTGGATTTGGGGATTGAATGTGTGCCTGGGGTGGCTTTTCCCAGGCGGGAGACTGGGGTCTGCGTCAGATATGGCCTCTTCTAACTGCTTGGAGGCCTGCTGGCCTTCCTGCTGCATAGTATGTGTGGAGAGGTGTATTAGTTTGCCAGTGCTGGGATAGAAAAATATCACAGACTGGGAGGTCTTAAAAAATGGAATTTTATTTCGTCGCAGTTCTGGAGGCCAGAAGTCCAAGAGCAAGGTGGCCGCGGTTTACTTTCTTCTGAAGCCTCTTTCTTTGGCTTGCAGATGGCTACCTTCTTGTGGTGTCTTCATGTGGCTTTTTCTCACTCTGAGTGCATCCCTCTGTCTCTTCTTATATTGAATTTGAGCCCTACCTTTACGACCTCATTTAGCCTTAATTATCTCTTAAAAGGCCCTATCTCCAAATATAGCCACATTCTGAGATATTAGAGGCTAGGGCTTCAACAAATTAATTTTAGGGGAACACGATTCAGCCCATAACAAGGAAATTTACCTCCTTGGAGTTGTATGTGGGTATGATATGTCTGAAGTGTTTGTAAGGAAAGGAGGCAAATACAGCTGAAACATGTTGTAATAAATTTTCCTCTGTTTTTTTTTTTTTTTTTTTTAGATTTTATTTATTTATTTGACAGAGAGAGAGATAGTGAGAGCAGGAACACAAGCAGGAGGAGTGGGAGAGGGAGAAGCAGGCTTCCCGCCGAGCAGGGAGCCCGATGTGGGACTCGATCTCAGGACCCTGGGATCATGACCTGAGCCGAAGGCAGACGCTTAACGACTGAGCCACCCAGGCGCCCCGATTTTCCTCTGTTTTGCTTTATCCTGGATTTGGGGCCTCTTGCTATGTTACAGAAATTGAGTGCCATAATTTGAGCCTCAAGTGCCCATGTCTCTCTCGCTTTCTGTTCAGCAGACTGCAGTCCTGCTCATGGGGCAGCCACAGCGATCTCAGGGCTGATGGAGACATCCTGTGCATGTGTATACCCCACAGAGTGCACATCTTTCCTTTCATCTTTCCTAGGTAGGGCCTCATCAGACCTTACATTCATTTACTATATAAATATATGTATACCTTCTCTGGGCCAGCACAGTTTCAGATGCAGGGGAAATGGCAGTGAACATAGTTCCTGCCCTCATTAAGTTGGTTTTTAGTAGGGGAGGTAGACAATAAACAATAAGCAAATGTCATGTCAGGGAGTGCTATGAGAAAAATAAAGCAGAAAAAGGTGGATAAAGTGATGGGGGTATATAGATATAGTTAACCTCTTGCCAGGGAAGCTCTGGTCTGAAGTTCACCATATATCCTTAAGAGACACAGTATAGTATAATGAAAGGAGTGGGGCATATCTGACTTACTGCCTTCCCAGCTATATGACTATGGAGCCACTTAACCTCTCTGAGCCTTAGTTTCTTCATCTTTAAACGGGAGCGATAATGTCCATCTCCTCTGTTATTGTGAGAATTAAAGGTGAATGCCAACCATTGGAGAAACACTCTGTTTGGCAGCTAATACTGTCCCTGAAGGCCTCTGGGACATGTGCCCCTGTCATGGCTTCCGCTTCCAGCTTGGAGTCCTTGCAGCCCTGTACAAATGTGAAATAGACCATAAGGGGCAGAAGTTTGTATGTACGTATGTATTTTGGATAGTTATTTTAAATCACTTTTCCTCTTTCAGGTGTCTTAAAAAACAAACACGTTTGGAAGGTTTTGCTATTCATATCTAGGAAGAACCAGCCAGGAGTAGATATGTGGAGGAATTATAAAGATTTCTGAAATCTGCAGATTCTCCCTGCAGGTCTACAATTCTTTATCTCCAATTTTGAGTACAAAAAACTCCAAAAACCCCAAACTGACCTGAAATAATGCTATTTATAGTTTTTGCCTGCTTACTGTATTTGTACCTCTTACTGCAGAAATAATACTATTTTGCTTATGGAGTGCTGCTCCTGAACCTTGCAGCAGAGTATATGATTTATATACGGTATTGCTTTTCTAAAGTCTATACAATTCTGAATCTGAAATACATCTAGCTGCAAGGGTTTTGGATTAGAGATTCTGGACCTTTATTTCATAATAACAAAGATAGACATATTGCCCACCAACGGGAAATCTGTTTCCTTACAGGAATCTTACCATGTGAATCTCAGAGTCACACAACACTGTACTTGGAAAGGCCCTTCGAGATCATTGCCAACCTCTTTCACTTTACAATGAAATAAAAATGAGGTGCCCTGCTTAAGGGCACAAAGTCTCAGCTAACTTTGATTACAGAAGCCATTGCCAGTTTTCTCAGCGAGGGCATGAGGAGAAGGGACCAGTCCGGTGCATTTCCCACCCACTTTGTTCCCATTTCCCCTCATTTCTTTCCTTAGCCTCCCCCCTAGAGAATTAGCTTTTCTCAGAAGGAACTCCCATGCTGCCCCCCAAAGATGACACATGTGGGCTGAGGCGTTGGAAGGAGAAGGCGAGGAGCATGTTTGGATAAGTAGTGGATACTAAGGGCTCTTCTCACGTGGAAATCGTGGTATTCTGGGGATGGGGCCACCATCTAAGTATGGGTTGCATATAACAGCCTCTTAAGAATGAGCTTATGAAATCTCGTCTGTGAAAGGCTCTGAGAGGCATGTCAGGTTGAGAAAGATAGGGACAGGTAAATGCACATTGACAGTTGTGGTTCCTGTACGCTTTCATCCTTGCCTTATATTATCCCTAGGGTGCGAATAGCTATGGGCAACTTGGCCTTGGCCATAAGGAAGATGTACTTTTGCCCCAGCAACTGAATGACTTCTGTAAACCTGAGTGTATCAGGAGGATCACGGGAGGAGGGGGCCACTCTGCTGTTGTCACAGGTAACATCTTTCTGGAGTAGACATTTCTTTTTTTTTTTTTTTTAAAGATTTTATTTATTTGGCAGAGAGAGACACAGCGAGAGAGGGACACAAGCAGGGGGAGAGGGAGAAGCAGGCTTCCCGCTGAGCAGGGAGCCCGATGTGGGGCTCGATCCCAGGACCCTGGGATCATGACCTGAGCTAAAGGCAGACGCTTAATGACTGAGCCACCCAGGCACCCCTGGAGTAGACAATTCTTATTTAGACATTTCCCACTAGCGGGTTATGTTGCCATCTTTCAGCCTCTTGTATTTTGCAGAGGAAAACATTCTTGTGAAAGAGCCAAGTTACCATTAGAGAATTCTAGATTTTTAGAGCTGAAAGGCCTTCAGAGATCTTCTAGGCTCCCTGCCCCCATTTATACAAATGAGGCTCAGAGAGGAAAACCAGTTGCTTAAGGTTACAAGACACATTAGTGGCAAAGTTGGCAACATATTTTACATTTTATATTATATATTGCTGTTTAACTTTCACTTGTGAGGTAGAAGTCTTTGCAATTAGATTGAATATTCCTTGAGAGCAAGAACTTTGTGTTTTCCTTAGTTTCCTTTGCAGAACCTATGATAGTACTTAACATGTACTACCGGTGCCATGATATTGCAAAGAAGGGCATATTGCATCCTGGTTAAGAATGTGAGTTCTGGGGCGGGGGGCGCCTGGGTGGCTCAGCCGGTTAAGTGGCTGCCTTCTTCTCAGATCATAATCCCAGAGTCCTGGGATCGAGCCCCACGTCAGGCTCCCTGCTCAGCGGGGAGCCTGCTTCTCCCTCTGCTTCTTACTCTCTCACATAAATAAATAAAATCTTAAAAAAAAAAAGAACGTGAGTTCTGGAATCAACTGCCTGGGTTCAAATCCTGGTTCTATTATTAGCTGTGTGGCCTTGAGCATATTAATTCCTCTGTGCCATTTCCCCTTTGCTACATGGGGGTAATAAGGCTGGATGAGGAGAATCAGTGAGTGACAGGGCTGCATTATGACTTTCATGGGTCCTTGGCACTTTTGCCTTTGTGGACCCTTTCCTCCATAAAGAATTCTATTTTACAACCTCTTTGATATAAAGATTAGTCTAATCCAGGCTAGATTTAGCATTGCATTTTCATTATCATTGCATTTATTTTTTTCTTATTTTAAAAGAATGTGAAATTAGGGGCACTGGGTGGCTCAGTTGGTTAAGTGTCTGCCTTTGGTTTAGGTCATGATCTCAGGGTCCTGGGGTTGAACCCACATTGGGCTCCCTGCTCAACGGGGAGCCTGCTTCTCCCTCTGCCGCTCCCCCTGCTTGTGCTCTCTCACTCTCTCTCTGTGAAATAAATAAATAGGATCTTAAAAAAAAAAGAATATAAAATTAAAACATCTTTATGAGGGCGCCTGGGTGGCTCAGTTGGTTAAGCAGCTGCCTTCGGCTCAGGTCATGATCCCGGGTCCTGGGATGGAGCCCCGCATCGGGCTCCCTGCTTGGCGGGAAGCCTGCTTCTCCCTCTCCCAGTCCCCCTGCTTGTGTTCCCTCTCTCGCTCTCTCTCTCTCTGTCAAATTAATAAATAAAATCTTTAAAAAAAAGGAAACAAACATTTTTGTGGGCCTCTAAAAGTATTGTAGGCCCTAGGCACTGTGCCTAAAGGATAAATCGGCCCCACAGATAAGGCTCGTATCATAATACATGGCATGTTCTAAGTTCTAGATGGATGTGGGCTTTTCTTGTTCTGGCAGATGCTCGATTAGGTGACTGGCCACTGCTCTAGGACTTGGAGTCCCGTGTCGGTACTGGATTTGAACGCCTTGGCCCTATGCCGTTTAGACCAGTGCACATTAACCTATGTGGCTTATTAGTGCGTGTGGGAGAAGAGAGGCTGGGTTTGTGACTGCAACTAATTAGTGAAATCCTCTTTCTTGCTTTGACAGTTGTAATTTCCCCCGTGTACACTATCACCAAAGCCTTTGCCTTTTGCAGATGGTGGAGGCCTTTTTGTTTGTGGTCTGAACAAAGACGGGCAACTGGGGCTTGGTCACACAGAAGATGTTCTGTATTTTACTGCCTGCAGGTCCCTCCTTGGCTGTCCTATCCAACAGGTGGCCTGTGGCTGGGATTTTACCATTATTCTCACAGGTGAGTTCACTCTTGGGTAAGTCTTTATCACCGCCAAGGCAGTGGGTGAGAAGAGCTTGGTGGTGGTGATCCCAATGAAGTGAAATCCTCTATATGTGTAAACACACATACAAATTTCTCTCTGGTTGTTGAGGAAGGTTGTGGGTGCCTTTTGCAAGAGGAGTTTGAACAGCAAAATTTTGGGCTAGAAAATTCTTTGCCAGAAACTGGGGGATGGACTAGGTTAACTTTGGTGGCTACTTCCTGTTCCAGAAATTCATGATAGGTGTGTGCCCGGGCTAGCTGGCCAATTGTGCTGGCTAAGGGCTACTCATGGGGGAATGTGGTGGGGAAGCATGAGGAAATCAGAGGTCACGCAACAGTGGTAACATCTTTTTCCCCAGTGAAGGATTTAAAAAAAAAAAAATTAAATATGGTTGGGCAGAATTGTTTGGTCTCTGCAAAGCCAGATAGCAGAATAGGATGTAGAGGGATATGGCCAAAGGGTTAATAGGATAATGCTCTTGGGAGCAGCTAGCAATAGTTAGTTTTTGTCCAGCTGACTTCTCCCTGGAAGTAGTTTTGCCCCATTGAGCTTGTCATTCTGGATGGAAAAGACCATCTAGAGTTTCTGATTAGATTCCCTCATTGACACAGTCCTCTGGAAAGGGCATCTTCTGACCATAACTTCTCCCACCCCACACTTGTGGATTCTCATGAGCATAGCTCAGATCCCAGGCTTTTACACATGGCTTTGATTGTTATTCCCTACCTATCCTTGTTGTTGCCTTGTCTTTTATTCTCCACATTCCCCATACTTTTCTTTCTAGAAATATCACGCAGAACATTGTTCTCTGGTACAGCCCCTTTTGTCTCTCTTTTTTAAAACCCTGCTCAGGCATCACCATCTCTTCTGCAGAGGGGTTCTGTAATGTGTGCTGAATTTAGTAGTAATAACTCTAAATAATAGCTATCGTTATGAAGTGCTTTTCGTGGACTGTGTTGGGGTTGTAAGATATCAGTGGATAACTCTCTGTTTCCTGCTCATTGTGGAACCAGTTGTGAGAAAGGAGGAGAGCTGCCAGATAGCTGGAGATCACACTATATTGGCTTTTCACTGATAAAGGCTAAGTTGGAGGACAGGGTTGATGGTCAGGCCAAGGGGTTCTGTAACACTCCTCTGACCCAAACTTATTCTGCAAACACTAGGTTATCTGTGTAGGGGAAACACTTAACTATGCATCAGTCCAGAATACCTGAGAGGAAGGTACCAAGCCACACATGTTGTGTTCCTTCTCCCAAACTCATCAGTTGGTTAGGTTCTCCCTTTTCCCCGGGGAGGCAGTGAGCATGGGGAGGAGCAGGGAGAGAGGCCTGGAGTATTAAAATAATGAAAGTTGTGATGCATGGAAATGAGAAAAGTGGGGAGTAAGTATCCTCTCATCCCAGCACCAGGCAGCGGGCTAATGTTCTACACAGATAAGCTGCCATTAATTAGGTAGTGTGATGGAGAATCTGTGAACCTAGCCCAGTGCCTTGTGTTTTTATTCCTAGAAGAACAATAAAAGCAGGGACTGTGGTTTGAATGTGCTGAATCACAGCCCCCACTCCCTCCTCTCATTCCCTTTGCTCTTCCCATCCTTCAGCATTTACCCACTGGTTACAGATATCTTACTTCTTAGATTATGATTTAAGTATTTGAATTTTGCAGAAAGTGGTCAAGTTCTGTCATGTGGATCCAACTCCTTTGGCCAGCTGGGGGTTCCTCATGGCCCTCGAAGATGTGTGGTTCCCCAGGCCATTGAGGTAAGGATAGCACCCAATATGTAGCTGACCCACGTCCTATTAAAGCATTTCCCTGCCCCAGACTCAGAGACTGGCTGGGTCCCTGAAAACCCAGGGGCTAGTCAGAATTTAAGTTGGAAAACCTAGGTTCTCCCGGGAAAAAGTAGGTCGGGGGTGGGTGATGGAGGTTGTGAGTGAAAAACCTGTTAGTCCTCATACACGTTATAAATTTTTGTGAAATAAAACAATGAAAGTAATATATGTCACAAAGACATTAATTACATTTTACAATTCTAAAGTTAGTAATAATGGGAACTAGGTTAGAAACAGGTCCAGATAGAAGGGACTTAGCTAAAGACGCTAAGCTCAGCAAATGGTAGGCCAGTAGTGCCCCATAAAAATGTGATGTGAATCGCATACATAATTTAGAATTTTTAGTAGCATCATTTAAGAGTAAAGAGAAAAATATGAAATTAATTTTTAAAATAACAGGTTTATTGAGATGTAGTTCACATGCCATAGAATTTACCCTTTAAAAATATATAATTCAGTGGTTTTTAGTATATCACAGAGACGTGCGGCCATCAACATTATCTAATTTGAGAACATTCTCATCACCAGGAAAGAAACTGTGCACCCGATGGCAATTACTTCCCCTTCTGCTCTCCCCCAACCCCTGGCCACCACTCATCTGTCTCTGTGGATCTGCCTATTCTGGGCATTTCACATAAATGGAATCATAGAATATGTGGCTTTTTGTGTCTGGCTTCTCTCATGTCACATGATGTTTTTAAGTTTCACTCATATTGTGGCGTGTAGGTGAAATTAATTTTAGTAACTTTCAAATTAACCCATTGTATTCAAACTAGTATTATTTCATTTTATGTGTCACTAATGTTAACATTTCCTAATGAGATGCTTTATGTTCTCTATTTCATACACGTTGAACTCTGGTGTACATTTTGTATTCGGAGTGTGTCTCGGTTTAGCCTAGTTATGTCTGGTCACATATTGGTTGCTTGGTAGCTGCATGTAGCTAGTGGCTTCTTCCTGGACAGCCCGGGTGCTAGACAGGACTCCTGGGCCCAGTTCAGAGCTCTTTCCACTGCATCATACTTACAATGTACACATTTTTGTGAAGTTTGTATGTAAGTGGTCACAATAGGACTGTGGAATTTTATTTTATTTTATTTTATTTTTTTAATGATTTATTTATTTGAGAGAGACACACACACACAGAGGCAGAGAGCGTGTGTGTGGTGGGGGAGGGGAACAGGGAGAGGGAGAGAAGCAGGCTCTGTGCTCAGCATGGGACTCGATCCCATGACCCTGAGCTCATGACCTGAGCTGAAACCAAGAGTCAGTTGCTCAACCGACCGAGCTACCCAGGTGCCCCGGGACTATGGAATTTTAAAAGGAATATGCTGGGATCTAAAATGAGTTTCGCCACCTCAGCTGCTCACATCTAGCTAATTTTCTTGAACTCTGACTCAGAGTAGGAGACCTGTTTTCACTGGAGGGAGCTTGGTCATGTTGCCGAATTACAGTTGCTGGTCTTTGGGAGATTACTTGAGGTCACGATCTGCACGGTGTTGTAGAGAGTTCAGGCTGCTGTCACGAGAGTTCTGTATCCTTGGGCGGCTTCAACAACAAACACTTATTTTCCACATTTCTGGAGGCTGGAAAGTCCAAGATCAGGGCATCGGCAGAACTGGTGTCTGGGGAGGACCAGCCGGCTTCCTTGTTCATAGACGCTCGTTTTGCTGGACAAAGGCGCCCTCTGGGGCCTCTTTTATAAGGGCATTAACCCCATTCATGAGGGCTCCTTCTCATGACCTAATCACCTCCAGAAGACCGCATTTCCAAATACTGTCCCATTGGGTACTAGGTTTCAATATATGAATTTCAGGGGAAAACAAACATTCAGTCTGTAGCACATGGTATGCAGAGAAATCTAGACTCTACGGTCCCTATCGTAGGAAGTGTTGCAGTTGCCAATTACAAATAGATGGTTTTTTAAGAACCTACATAAGTCCTGATTAATTTAGCTTAGGTCACATGATTAAAGAAGACAGAAGGGAACAATGGTTAAAATATGTTGGATGACAGAATCAGGAGGTGACAACATTTGTCAGCCTGCATCCTCTCGAACAACGGGAGGAATGTGCCAAAGTGAAATATAAGAAATTCATTTCTTTAATAGCAACTGTTGTGTATAGGCACTGTGTTTGGGGCCGTGGGGACAAAGGTGAGTACGACCCAATCTGAGTATTTGAGGGTCTTAGAGTTTAGTGGTACATGTTAGATCTAGAACATCTAAATGCATTACCATGTTAAAACTATGGTGGCTGCAGGTATAGACTCAAAGGAGGGGATACTTAACTCCTTCTAGGGAGAGGGAGGTGGAGTGAGAGCAGGCTTATGCTGAGTCTTGAAAGTTGAGTAGAAGTTTACGTGGCTTGAGATAAGATGCACAGAGTAGCTATAAAAGAAGAGCGTTCCACACAGAAGGAACTATAAGCAAAGGTGTAGAAGCATAAAATATCAGGGTTTGAGATACTGGAAGCAGTTCAGTATGATTGGAATATAAGGAAGTGGTAGAAGTACCCATGGGGAGGGGACCATCAGGGAGGTAGTATATGGCCAGTGGTCAGAACAATGTGTTGGGGGGGGCCAGAAGGGGTAGTGTGGAGGGTGGAGTGAAGAGCGCATGCTCTCTCTCTTTCTCTGCCCCCCCCCCCCAAAAATTTAGCAACTTTAAACAACAAGCATTTACTATCTCAGTTTCTGAGGGTCAGGGATCTGGGAACAACTTAGCTGGTCTCATGAGGTTGCGGTCAAGATGTTAGCTAGGGCTGCAGGCCATCTGCTGACGGCTCTGGGCTGGGCTGGCAGACCCGCTGCCATGCTCTCTCACCTGGCAGTTGGCTTCAGTTTCTTGCCACATGGGCCTTTCTGTGGGATTGTGCAGGCATGGCATCTGGCTTCCCCCAAGAGAGATTCGAGAGTGAGGCCAAGCAGGAAGCCTCAGTGCCTTTTATCACCTTGTCTCTAGGCTGCTCATCACTTTTTTTTCCTGGTCACTAGAAACAAGTCACCAAGTCCAGCGCACATTCAGCCAGAGGGGAATTAGGCTCCACAACTTCAAGGGATGGGTTTCAAAGAATTTGAGGACTTGGTTTTAAAGCCACCACAAGACATCTCAGAGAGGACACACGACAACTGTCTTCACATATTTGGAAAGCATTGTGAGAGGCTAGAGGCAGCTAAGGAGGTAAACGGAAGGTGGAAACACGGAGTAGGCACCTGGGGATAGTGAGCCCACGTCACTGGAAGCAGCTGCTTGGGAGGGGTGGGGTGATGATTTCCTGGGGTGTTGTGGAGGGGTTCTGGCATTGGATGGGGCTTGGACTAGATCAGAGGCCATCCAGCTAGAACCCTGGGTAAATGAAGTGTTGCTGGAATACAGCCATGCCCATTCATTCATGTATTGCCTGGGGCTGCTTTTATGTTACGATGGCAGAGCAGAGACTATGACACAAACCATGTGGCCTGCAGAGTCTAAAATAGTTACTCTCTGGTCTTTATAGAAGACATTTGCCAACCCCTGGACTGGATGACCTTGAAGGTCCCTTGCAGCCCTGAAACGCATTGTGATACATTTATCTATAAGAGATTTTTTTTTCTCTTTCAGGATGCATATAGAGGTATTTAGGGATGGAAATGTTGGAGGTTGGGGACTCTATTTTTATTTTTATTTTTTAAGATTTTATTTATTTGCGAGAGAGAGAATGAGAGACAGAGAGCATGAGAGGGAGGAGGGTCAGAGGGAGAAGCAGACTCCCTGCTGAGCAGGGAGTCTGACGCGGGACTCGATCCCGGGACTCCGGGATCATGACCTGAGCTGAAGGCAGTCGCTTAACCAACTGAGCCACCCAGGTGCCCCAGGTTGGGGACTCTAAAGCAGTCTGACATGTAATGAGGGCCATGCTGCATTGTATCAGGGCATAAAGTACGTAACATCTTGCAGATGGGTGATTCTAAGATCTCAGTCCTTTTCTTTCTTTCCACAGCTCCTGAGAGAGAAGGTCGTTTGCGTTGCTGCTGGACTGAGGCATGCTTTAGCTGCTACAGGTGATCATCTTGCTTTTATTTTCAAAATGGGCTCATAATAAAGAGAAGCAGAGCTTTAGAGGAGATAAACTCGAAGGAGTAATTCAAAGTGTCCCGCTGTGCTGCATTTCTGATTAGAAGGAGGCGACATAAGGCCAAAGTCGTGTGGGAAACCTTTAGCAGGTGGGGAGGAAGGAAATGAAGTTTTCTAGCTCCTTATTATGTTCTAGGCATGGTGCTAGATTCTCTTGATTTAATCCATACCTTATTTAATCCTCACAACCTTGCCTGTGATGCGAGTTACATGTGAAGAAACTGAGGTGCAGAGACTCGAGTGCTTGTCTAAGTTTGCAGGGGATATTTAGGGGATAAGGTGGTCAAAGGTAGAGCTGGGAACAGAGTCTGGAATGACCTCCTTTCCAAGGCCCGCATTCTTTACTGTGAACTACACTGCTTTCCTAGTGGGTTTTAACGTTTATTAATGTCAAAGCTTCCAATGAGCTTGTCTCCCGTACCATGAGAGAGTGGTGGTGGACCTCAGGCTGACAGTGTGCGTGAGGGTGACCGTGGCAGGCGGAGAGAGGTGATGGCCTGCAGAAGAGCGGTGAGCCTTTCTCCCCCCCCGGGTCGTTTCTCTGCTCCCACTCTCGCGAGGTGAAGGGCAGACCTAACTGGCTTTGGCAGCTCAGGCTCGAGCGTTGATGAGTCCAGTCGTGGCCCGGGGAGGCCGGAGGGGGCGAGGAAGGGTCTGGTGCAGCTCGGTACTGATGGTCGCCTGGGGCTTAATGTTGCGCATGTAGGAAACAAGTTTTGAGATAATTGCAGATTCACATGCCGTTGCAAGAAATAAAATAGATCTCATGCATTCTCTTCCCAGTTTCTCCCAACGGTGACATTTTGTGAAACTGTAGCTCAGCAGCCCAGCCGGTCTTGATACGGTCAGGATACGAACAGCTCCATCACCATAACCATCCCGCCTGTGGCCTTTTCCTAGCACTCACTTTTAATACACCCTTGTATGTACCTTTTATACATTCACTTCCTACCTGCCCCCACCCCTTCTTAGCTCCTGGCAGCCGCTCTTCTGTTCCCCAACAGTAATGTCATTTCAAGGATGTTATATAATGGTATCATACAGTATATAGCCTTTTGGGGTTGACTGTTTTTGCTCAGCAGGATTCCCTGGAGAGTCATCCAAGGTGTGTGTATCAATAATTTTTTCCTTTTTATTGCTGAGTAGTAGTAGTCCCTGGTATAGATATACCACTGAATTAGTCATCTCAGGCTGCCATAACGAAATATCACAGACTGGGTGGCTTAAACAGTTTTCTCAGTTACAGAGGCTAGAAGTCCCAGATCAAGATGCCAGGAGGGTTGCTCTCTGGTGAGGCCTCTCTTCCTGACTTGTGATGGCTGCCTTCTTGCTGTGTCCTTATAGGGCCTTTGCTCTGTGCACTCATGGAGAGAGGGAGGCATCTGGTATCTCTTCTTCTTTTAATAAGGACACCAGTTCTGTCAGGTGAAGGCCTCACTCTTATGACCCATTTAACCTTTATTAGCTCCTTACAGGCCTCTCTCCAAATACAGTCACACCTGAGTTTAGGGCCTCAACATACGAATTTTGTGGGGCACAGTTCAGCCCACAACAATGCAGTTTGTTTAACCAGTCGCCCACTGAGGGACATCTGGTTGTTTCCAGGTTTTGGCTATTAAGAATAAAGCTATAAACATTTGTGGACAAGTTTTTATGCAGACATAAATTTTCATTTCTCTGGGATAAATGCCCAGGAGTGTGATTGCTGAGTTGTATGCTAGTGATTACATTTTTATAAGCTGCTTCTCCTTTTAGAAATTAGGACTGGAGAATCGCTTATTATTGGTTTAATTCCCCCTTTCCTACCAACTTCTGTAATTGCTAGTCTTACGTGTACATTTCTGTCCAGTTACAAAGCAGCAGTTTCCATTATGTGTTTGATGGACTTTTTCAAAAAATTTTTATTATGTTATGTTAATCACCATACATTACATCATTAGTTTTTGATGTAGTGTTCCATGACTCATTGTTTGCGTATAACATCCAGTGCTCCATGAAATACATGCCCTCTTTGATACCCATCACCGGGCTAACCCATCCCCCCATCCCCCTCCCCTCTAGAACCCTCTGTTTCTGAGTCCATAGTCTTTCATGGTTTGTCTCCCCCTCCAATTTCCCCTCCTTCATTTTTCCCTTCCTACTATCTTCTTTTTTTTTTTTTTTTAACATATAATGTATTATTTATTTCAGGGGTATAGATCTGTGATTCATCAGTCTTACACAGTTCACAGCGCTCACCAGAGCACATACCCTCCCCAATGTCCATCACCCAGCCACCCCATGCCTCCCACTTCCCTCCACTCCAGCAACCCTCAGTTGCGTTTGATGGACTTAATTGTAAGTCCTCCTCTCCCATTTAATCTGTAAGTATTTCTGCAGGCATGTCTAAAAGATAAGGACTCTTTCTGAAACCATTGCCAAAATACCATCATCATACCTACAAAAAACTAACAATAAATCTGCAATTTGATCAAGTATCCAGTCAGTGTTTAAATTTTCTTGACTGTCTCAAAAATATTTTTTTAACAGTTTGTTTGACTCAGGATCCCAATGATGTCTAGGCTGCAAGTGGTGGATATGAATGTCATGTCTCTCCTTTTAAAAATATTTATTCCTTGTAATTTTTTATTTGTGATAAAATGCGCATGACAGAATTTACCATCCCATTTTTATGTGTACAGTACATTCACGTTATTGTACAACCATTACCACCATCCATCTCCAGAACTCTTTTCATCTTGTGGAACCACAAACAATAACTTCCCCTCCCTGCCAGCCCCTGGCGACTACCATTCTTCTTTCTGACTCTGTGATTTCAACCACTCACACAGGTACCTCCTATGAGTGGAATTGTACAGTATTTGTCCTTTTGTGTCTTATTTTACTTAGCATAGTGTCCTCAAGGTCTATCCATGTTGTAGCGTGTGTCAGAATTTTCTCCCTTTTTAAGGCTGACTATTCCATTGTGTGGATAGACCACATTTTGCTTATCCGTTCACCTGTTGATAGACACTTGGGTTGCCGCCATGTGTCAGCTATTGTGACTAAGGCTGCCATGAACATGGGTGTACAAATATCACTTCCAGGTCCTGCTTTCAGTTTTGTAGGATATATACCCAGAAGTAGAACTGTTGGATCGTATAGTCATTCTATTTTAATTTTTTGAGGGACTGCCATGCCGTTTTCCCCAAGGGCCGTACCATTTACATTTCTGCCAGTAGAGCACAAGGGTTCCAAAGAACTCCGCATCCTTGCCAACATTTGTTATTTTCTGGTTTTTTTTTTAATAGTAGCCATCCTAATGAGTATGAAGTAGTATCTCATTGTGGTTTTGTTTTGCATTCTCTAATAGTGATATTGAGCCTCTTTCACATGTGCCTTTTGATCATCTGTATGTTTTCTTTAGAGAAATGTCTCTTCAAGTCCTTTGCTCATTTTTGAATCAGGTTTTTTTTGAGTTGTTGAGTTTTAGGAGTTCTCTATATATTTTGAATATTAATCCCTTATCGATATCACAGGATTCTTTTAATCTATAAATTGTTTTTCCTCCCTCTTTCTCCCCCTTGCAATTTATTTGTGGAAGAGATGGTAAGTTTTGTTTTATTTCAGCACTGTGTTTTGCGAGTCGTCATCACTTCTGTTTCACAAAGTGGGCTGGTCTGTTTACAGCCTAAAGGAACGTGGGTTACAGGGTGCTTCCGGAGGAGTGACTGTAGATTAAACATATGAAATGTTACCTGTGCATTTACATGAGGTTCAGAACATGGGCACATGAACTAGATTCAGTGGATAGGGAAGTAAAAGGCCATTCCCCTGAAGGAGTGGCTATTAAGCTGTCTTGCAGTCATAAATATGTATTTATTTGGTAATTAGGAATCACTGCATTTACTTTGGTGTAATAGAAAAGACACTGCATTAGGCGTTACGAGAGCTGAGTCCTAGTATTTTCTCGGCTCCTAGCTCCCTGTATGACCTTGGGCACATCACACTGTCTCTTCAAGCCCTTAGTTTGCTCGTCTACTAAATGTGAGGAATGGACTTGATAATCTTCCATGTTCTTTCCTGCCGGGTCTGGAGTTTGAGTTGTCCTTCCAGGTTAGTCATGAACAAGGTGTCGTTTCAGTGCTTTGACTCTGGAAGAGTGTCCTGGAACTTTTTGGAAGGAGTTTTAGTATGTGGGAATTTTCTTTGATGGTCTTAAATTGCCCTGAAGATTGGACTTGTGATTGGCTTGGTGGTAACCAAGTCATAGGGTCCCTGGAAGCACTGAGTTTCTCCATAGCAAGCGTGTTAACTGAGAATGCATTGAGAAACTCCCGTAGCATGGGGCTCCAGGAGCAATCTCGTCTTAATCCCGTAAAACATTTTCTCGTTTTCTTCTTCTCCATTGGGAAGCAAGTGGCATCGTGTTCCAGTGGGGGACTGGTTTGGCATCATCTGGACGGCGGTTGTGCCCCGGGCAGACTCTCCCACCGTTTTTGACAGCAAAGGAACCAAGCAGAGTGACAGGTAAGGCCCGTATTTCTGAGTCCTATATTTATTCTTTGTCAAGAAATAGTAACACAGGCATGCAGAAAATGGGTGAATGGAGTGTACTCTTTACACTGCTTGACTATTTTCTTAGTTCCTCTGTCTTCATTCTCTGTGTTGGTTAGGTGTGTTAGTCTTGTTAGAATTTTTGTGGGCCCAGTAAAAGTACCCCTCCTCACTGCCAGAGGGGGAGCCCGTTGAGAGATAGATGCAAGTCAGATAAGTGGAGATCAGAATGGTAGCTCTGGAGCTGTTAAACGTTAGGCTGGGAGACGTGACTTAGGTGTTTGGAAATAATGTGTAGCAACAGTGAACCTCGAGATTCTGAGTCCCCATTGGATTTACTCACTAGGCACTGGTGCAGCTGCGTAGCGTCAGGCCTACTAAGCTCACCGCACGGCTGGAGCACACGGGGAGGCAGGCTCTCTGCAGGCAGGCACATCCTAAAGGGAGAACCTGGAAGGACTGTTATTGCGAGCCCAGTTCCTTCTCCCAAAAGCAGAGCAGGACTGAGTGAGGGGCCAAGAGTGTTCTGTAGGGAAGTCTCTCTCTCTTTTTTTTTTGACTCTGTATTTTATTTTATTTTATTTATTTTTATTAACATATAGTGTATTATTTGTTTCAGGGTACAGGTCTGTGATTCATCAGTCTTACCCAATTCACAGCGCTCACCATAGCACATACCCTCCCCAGTGTCCGTCACCCAGCCACCCCATCCCTCCCACCCTCCTCCACTCCAGCAACCCTCAGTTTGTTTCCTGAGATTAAGAGTCTCTTATGGTTTATCTCTGTAGGGAAGTCTCTTTACATGGGCACATGGGGAGTGGGTAGTGACCATTCTGCCCATGGGTCTGGTCTGTCTTTGTTGGTCATTTAGCCTGTAGGGCTTTCTCTTCTGCTTTTCACTCTGGGGCTCAGTCTCTTTCAGCTCCTCTCTCTACCCACCTCTCCCTCTGCTCTACACTCTCACTGTGGGCCCCCTTCTCTCTCTCTCTCTCTCTCTCTAGCACCATAGAGCACCATGTCTGCATCTCCTCTTTTTCCTTTCTTCTTCTCTTGCTCTCTTGCTGTATGCTCCAGTCTCCAAGGGTTGGCTGTAGGAAAAACCCACATAGGAAACCTCTGCTCTCCTCTAGGTGAGAACAAAGGTGTGGGTGGGATAGGAAGTGGGGAGAGAAGGGAAGGGAAAGCCACAGTGGGGTACAGTGATGCACAAGGTGTTGGGGTCGTTCTGATTTTCCTAAGTCCTGGAGGCGCTCCCATTCAGTTGGGGGCAAGGGTGGTCACCCTGAAGCCAGGGGTAGAGTTGGGGAGAGGACTCTTGGAGAAGGAGAGGGGGCATTGGATGCTGGACAGGCAGTCCACTGCACATGACCTTGAACATATTCATAAAATAAACTCATACATCCCAAACATTTTTTTCCTGCCTCATCTAGGTATTCACTGCTCCCTGGGCATTTCCTGCTTTCTTATTCCTCTGTGTCTATAAGCATGCTGTTAACCCTGCCTGAAATGTCTTCCTTCCTGTTCCTTCTGGTAATCCTTATTTTATCCTGATAATTTTTCAAGGCTTAGCTCAGATACAGCTTTCTCAGTGAAGAGTCTTCCCTATTCGGACTCCATTGCATTTTCTCCATGTGCGTGGACAGCACAGTGTACTGCATTATTATGAATTGTTCATGTTTTCCTACATGCCCAAGATTGAGCTTCTTAAGGGCAGAAACCGTGTCTACTTTCTGTTTCAGCACAGGACCTATAATTGGAAGAAATCAAATAGGCTTTGATTTGATTTAAATGACCTGTTTGGGTTCTGTTTGGGGCACAGCTTAGATTTTGAGTTGATTGGTGGAGTTTTCTGATAGGACATTAGAATAGATCGTGAGCTTTCTGCCCTCAAAGTCGTTCCCTTTTTGTTTCCCCTTCATTACCTCCTTGCCATTGGTTCTGCAGCTGCAACCCTGGACATCCCCTCCTTGCCTTGCTGCGAGGCCCCATGCTTCCTCTCTGGTGAATGTGCTGGAAACATCTGCTTTGTCCTTTTCTCATTTCGCAGGATCCTCAAAGGTGTGAGGGGCATTTTATTAACGCTAGTTAATAAACAGAAGTGTCAGAAAAGAGTTACAGAATAAGACTGCCTTTCTCTGCATGCTGGACCCAGTGACCACAGTTTCTACAGAGTCAGTTGAGGTTATAACCTGTCAGTGAAGGCAGTGTAATTAGGGAGGAAAAGTGCTAGATTTGGAGATGGAAGGCCGGTTCACAACAATTCTTAATTCTGCCTGTATGTTCTTTGGAGTCCTGAGTTTGCCTGCACACTATGAGACGGCAGCTGAATGTGTGAGATGTTGTCGCTTCTAGGCCCACGCGTGGACAGAGCTATGAGAGAGCTGTGTGCACACACATATTTCCACATATGTACACCCGTGTCTGTTTGTCTGTCTCTACTCGAAACCATGAGTTTACGGTGATTTCTCCAATTACAATCCACTATCACATGGTCGGTTCTAGCCTTCTACCTTTCCTCTCCACTCCGCTAGGGAGAAATCGGGCTCCTTTATCTTCAGTATATTTACTTATTTGTTCAATGCCTTGGTATGTAAACAGTGTCCCCACCACATCATCCATCTTTCTGGCCAGCGCCACCGACTCAGACCTGCCTGTTTTGGCTGCAGGTTTCTTTCGGGCCCCGGTGGTGCTACCCGAGCCCCTTCTCTGCCCAATTTGTTCTGTTATAAATGTGCTTTCAAAAGATTTTTTTTTTTTTTTTTGTAGGCCTGGAGAATTCTAAAGCAACCTATGTTCTTGCTGGCTCAGATCACTCAGCTTCATTGACAGGTAAGGACCAGCTCTCTGAGTCTAACGCGCCATTTGGAGTTCTGCACGTTTCTTTTGGGACACAGAGGGAAGAGCGGAGACTTGGAGTCAGAATTCTGCCGCCACCCCTGGCCTGATCTTAGGAAGTCACTTTACCTTCCGAGACCATTGCCTTCTCTATTGCGTACTCTGTGGGTAGTTTTGAGAAGTAAAGATGACAATACATGTAAGGCGTCCGCATGAAGGAAACACAGGCTCACTTCCTCTCCTCTCAGCTGTACAGTAGGGACAAGAATGTCCCTCAGGGTAGTTTTGATTGCAAAATTCCAGAGCCAGCAGTTAGTTTGTGTAGCACATTGGTACCTGACCCACCGGATCCATCTGGGGTCTAATACAGCTGTCTATTCCCTCTAGCTGCTTGCTCTCCGACTCATCTGTTCTATCCACCTCTGTCTTCCCGGGCATTTATCTACCTCTCTGCTCTGTCTGTTTTCATCGACTCTTTATGTTTCTATTTATCTCCATTTTTATTTACCTTTCTTCTGTGTATATTCCTATCTAATCTCTGTGTCTGTATATCTTTCTAAATGGAGTCATGCACATATTTCTCTAATCTATTTTGTATTTTTATGCATTTCTGCAGTCTATGTCATCTCTTTGATCCCTCCATCTCTCTGTCTAATCTGTTTTTCTCTCTCACACTGTATCTCTCTTTTTGGTTATGCATCCTTCCATCCATTGGACATACCGCACCAACACAGTACTACTTTCCAATGACAAAGCAGCATCTTCTTGGAAGTGAAGGTTATCTCTTCGAAAGGTTCTCTTTCAAAGCCAAGACTGCCCTGATCCCTACCAGTAGACTGAGACAAGAGCTCTGAGAGATTTATTTTGGTAAGACTGGAGCTGAAGGCAGGACGTTTTTTGAGCAAAGGGGGATGACTTTCATACATAGTGTTTTTAGTGTTTTATGTGGAAATTAAGGTGTATGTGTACATAGGTCTACACAGTATGGGTAATTAATGGTGACATGCATTCTTCAACGTCAAATGTGTAATGCAGTCCAACCAAGAAGTTGCTACTGTTTCCAGAATACAAAAGCCACAATGTGAGAGTTTAAATACATTACAAATTCTAAACTACGGATAATTTGTTATTTAACAAATTCAAATAACCAACTAACAAAAGAGATACCTACTTTTAGCCTATGTCTCATATTAGGTCGACTTACATATATGTTAAGAGGGTTGAGTTGAAGTGAATGCCAAGTATAAGGGAGGCCCCTGGGCATTTGGCCCTATCTCTCCTTTTGTAGAGGAAGGGCTGGAGGCCCCAGGGTGAGAAGTGACTAGTTCGTGCCCCACAGTCAGTGAGGGTTGAGGAAGGCATTCTTTTCTGAGAATAGAAGTATCGTAAGAGACGTTTCTTTTTTTTTTTTTTTAAATTAACTTTTTTTTTTTTTAAAGATTGTATTTATTTATTTGAGACAGAGAGAATGAGAGACAGAGAGCATGAGAGGGAGGAGGGTCAGAGGGAGAAGCAGACTCCCTGCCGAGCAGGGAGCCCGATGCGGGACTTGATCCCGGGACTCCAGGATCATGACCTGAGCCGAAGGCAGTCGCCCAACCAACTGAGCCACCCAGGCGCCCGTAAGAGACGTTTCTACTCTAGCCTAATCAATTTGAAATGGCCAGCATTATGTAAACTTAGATTCTCTAATTGCTTGCTAACAATTTCTTCAAAAATCTTACAATTAGTGAAGTTATTTATTATTTCATATGTGGAACACTTTTATGGTGTATTTATTTATTTATTTATTTTTAAAGATTTTATTTATTTATTTGACAGAGAGAGAGATAGTGAGAGCAGGAACACAAGCAGGGGAAGTGGGAGAGGGAGAAGCAGGCTTCTTGCTGAGCAAGGGGCCTGATGCAGGGCTTGATCCCAGGACCCTGGGATCATGACCTGAGCCGAAGGCAGCCGCTTAACCGACTGAGCCACCCAAGCGCCCCTTTTATGGTGTTTTTAAAACACAGATGTTGAGTTTTGTTTTATTGAGATATAACTCATATATAAAATTCACCCCTTTAAAGTGTGTAATTTAGTGATTTTTAAAGTATATTCACAAAGGAAATTGGTTTTTGATATTTTGAAAGTGACTTAAAAATTGTCGAGATTAATCTCCCTCCTTCCTGGTCTAGTTCAAGCTGTTACATGTTGGATTTTGTTCATTGCTCTTTAGACCTTCTCTCTGGAGTTGTGGTAGGTTATATAACTAGTTGGCATTGCAGCAGAATGTAATTTTGCCTGCTGATGCAACAGTGTAATGATCCGCATGTGGAAGACAGTTTGTCTTTGCAAAAAGCTGGCCTAGACTCTCTAAGATAAATGGAGGCTTATTACAGACCTGAGCTCACCGTCAGTAGCAGCTCGGTAGCCAACCGGTCCATTAAATGGGTTGAGACTTTCCTGAGGGGCTTCTCTGCCCTCTTGTAAGAGATCTTCCTACTTTGTACACTCTGGCGAAGTCCATGGAGGTTGCCCTCTCTCAGGGCATGAAGTACACCAAATTCACATCGTCGAACTGCAGGATGTCAGTGCTACAAGGTCAACTGAGTGACGGAATGGCTCCCCTGACTTACGCTCCCCCATCTTCGACCTGATGAAACAGGCCTGGAATGTGAAGTGATACGCTGGTGTGAGAGGGCGATGGAGTAGCACGGACTGGAACCCCGAATCTTGGTCTGATGTCCTTTAATGATACTGTTTGGCTTTATACCAGACTTCCCTATGGCAAGCAATGCTGGAAAACTGTTCTGGGAGGTCACAAAACGCAGTTGGAAGCAGAGGACTTGGCTTTCTGTTAGCCATGTGATCTTGAGAGTCATTTAACATCTCCAAGCCTTGATTAATTTAGCTTCTAGAAGAATGCTGTCTAATAGAAATATGTGAGCCACATTTCAAAAAGTAAAAAGCAGGTAAATTAGGGCGCCTGGGTGGCTCAGTTGGTTAAGCGACTGCCTTCGGCTCAGGTCATGATCCTGGAGTCTCTGGATCGAGTCCCGCATCGGGCTCCCTGCTCAGCAGGGGGTCTGCTTCTCCCTCTGACCCTCTTCCCTCTTGTGCTGTCTCTCACTCTCTCTCTCAAATAAATAAAATCTTAAAAAAAAAAAGCAGGTAAATTAATTTTAATAATATATTTTATTTAACCTGATATACCCACAATATTATTTCAACCAGTAATCAATATGAAGATTATTAAGGAACTATGTTGTTTTTGGGTTTTTTTGTGCTATGTCTTTGCAATCTGTTGTGCTTTTTTTGTTTGACAATGTATCTCAGTTTGGACTGGCCACGTTTCAGGCGTTTGTGCCTGCACATGTGTGTGTGCTCTGTGCTGTATGGTACAGTATAGAAATGTGGGATGTCAGGGTTGGTTGGAAAAGCTCTTAGAGATCAGTCAGGGAGTCACAAACTGTAGGTTCACGGGCCAAACTGTGTAGCTCATGGCTCCATTTGGTCTGGCTTCCAGTTAAAAATGCTTTTGAGGGCGCCTGGGTGGCTCAGTCGGTTAAGCGACTGCCTTCGGCTCAGGTCATGATCCTGGAGTCCTGGGATCGAGTCCCGCATCGGGCTCCCTGCTCGGCAGGGAGCCTGCTTCTCCCTCTGACCCTCCTCCCTCTCGTGCTCTCTGTCTCTCATTCTCTCTCTCGCAAAAAAAAAAAAAAAAAAAAAAAAATCTTAAAAAAAAAAATGCTTTTGAACTTGAATGCCTTTTAGAAAAGCATGTGCCCTGTGGCTTGCCGCCGTGGCCCACCAGTCTCTCCTGTGGCCCATGTCATCCGTTACATGGTCTGCCCTTCGAGGCCATCCGCCCTGCCCTCCGATTTTCAGCTGGTGAAACTAAGGCTTAGGAAGTGATTTGTCCAAGGTCAGTAGCTGGTTAGCAGGTCCAGGAATAGAAGCCAGAGTCACTTGACTGTGAACTTGCTTTCTTTCTGTTAATTCACAGTGTCATTCAGTGGCGTCCCTGCTCATACCTCGGGACTACCATGAGGTTCAAATGAACTATAGTGCTGTGTGTATGGGAGGTAGCAGCATTCTGTTTTCTGCTGGACGGGACATGTTGTGAGATCATCTTGGGTCTGAAAAGTTTACGCTTAAATAATATATCTTTTAACCTGTTACTTTAAAGAGTTAATGCATATTTTTCCTGACCAAAGGCAATGCAAGCATGTTTTTTAAAAAATGGAGAAAATGGAGAAACATGTTTTTCTTGTGGTAGATGTTCAATAAATATTTGTTGAATGAATTGATGAAAAAATAAACTTACACGTTCTTATTCCTTGACAAACTAAGAACATTTGGCCTTGTTTCCTGTTTATAGAATTAAAAACAAACTTATATGTTAATATGCTAGGCATGAATTTTGTATCCTGCTTTGCTCTACTCAGCGTCATAGCATAAGAATCATACAACTTCTCTTAACCACTTTTTTTTTTCAGATTTGTGTTATTTCCCATCATTTTGAACTAATGTTCCTTCACCTCTTTTGTTCCTCTTCTGTTTGTTTAAGATGCAGGAGAGCTGTATGTTTGGGGAAGCAACAAGCATGGACTACTGGCTTCCTTGGCTGCTTTTCTTCCTGTGCCCCAGAAAATAGAAGCACATTGTTTTCAGAACGAAAAGGTCACTTCTGTCTGGAGTGGGTGGACACACCTGGTTGCTCAGACAGGTGAGAGAGCAGCAGAGAAATTGTGGTTGGTAAGAACAGTGGGGGTCGGGGGGTGGGGGTAGGGATGGGAGGACAGCTGTCTAAACAGCTGTGAATGCTCAGGACTAAGTAAGTGGGTTTTTACTATGAAAAGCTCTATGGATTGGGACAGGGAGGATCTGGGATCGAGTTCTGCAGTCAGCCAGATATGGAGCATTTCCTCTCTGGATCAAAGGTTTACACCCAAAGAGGCAAGGCTAGGTTAGATGGACTCTTTCTGGCCCTATGAATCCGTGAGGTTTTGAGAAGGAACCCATTGTAGCAAGCATCACCCAGAAGTTTGTCCGGGTTGTTGGGGAGTCTTTGCCTTGTCCTAGCTGAAGAGATGACTTTACTTGCATTTTCACCTGAGTCTAAATTAAAAGCTTCCGAAACTTAAAGATTAATATTTCAAGATCGAGGCAGGAGCATTACTTTGAATCATGGCTGGAATGATATTTTGATTTACATTTCCATTAACCCTAACAAACCACATAACATTGATTCAGACATCCCATATATCCTCTCAGATGTTACCTTATGGTGCCATGCCATCCAGCTTTTGGCATCTTTATCTTTTCTTGAGTCTGTATTTATTTCTTATCTTTCCCTTAGGGCACATCTCCTTTTGTGGTCTTCATATTGATGATTTTGTTCTCTGGGCTTGTTTTTTTTATGGCCGCTCTTCTTCCCTGGCTTCCTAGAGTTTCTGCTGACTTACGTAGAGTTTCCCAGACAGGCCATTTGTAATTCTTAAGATCTATGATCATGTCAGAGCCTCCTGAACTTCAGGGGTTCTCAGGAGTCTCCTTGCCTGCCCTTGACCTGCTTGTTAGCTGCACACAGATCTCCAGACTCCCAAATACCTACCTAGTGACTGTTAGTTACTTCAGTGGCTTCTGTTTTTTGTAGGTTTTCAGGTCCGCTTCAGTTATCCCTGGCAAGTCCCACCTACTACACATTGGAACACACAGACATACACTTGTGAGTCTTCATATCTATGAGGCTTTTCATTGGTCTTTTAAAAAATTTTATGACTATTTTGGAACAGAGGCCTGTATAACAAAGGTGTAAAATTAACTTTCCATATTGACCACTTCAGAGGATTCTCTAAAGGGGAAAATCATGACTTTCCTCAGAGAGGTTCAGACTACTAGAAGATTGGGACTAGCTACAGAAACTCTTCTTAAGGAGACTCACTGAGCACAGTAATTGTGCATTTGTACAATTGTTAATATTTGCCTTTTACCTGGACAGTGAGCTCTGTGAGGGATAGCACCATGTTAGTCTTGTTCACTTCTGTATCTTCACATTCTAGTTAAAAGAGAGTAAATATCTTCAAATACATGAGTCAAGGTAGACAGCGAGGATTTCTGACCTCTTTCCTTGGTCTCACTGGTTCATGAACAGAAGGCTTCAGTTTGTCTCTTTGTATTCACGAGTCCAACCAAATCAGTTATTGTTTATCGGGAACCTATTGAGCAATCTGGTGAGCGTTGGAGAAAAGACCTGGGCTATGCCCTCCCCAGAACGTGTAGACAGGCCTGAGTGTATGAATATAGACATGGAAGACTTTACCATCCATCCATATGTCTGTCTGTCCATCCATCATACAAATGGTGGGGATCTATTTATGTATCACACCTTGTATAGATATAAACCCTGCCCTCAGGGAGCCCGCTGGCCACTGGGGGAGACCGACCTGTTATCCAGTTTCGGTACATTGCTGTTGGAGACATGCAGTGGCAGCTATGTTCAGCATGCAGAAGGGGCATAGAAAGGAGCAGGGAGTGTGAGTAACTGGGTATTAACAGGTGGGTGTTTCATGGTTAGTCAGTCTTCACAGAACTACCATGCGGTCAAATACACTCACCACCGAATGGCAGTGAGTTTGGTTGAGTGTGTCACAAACCCTCTCACTAGTTAGGTGGCTGATGAACGACAGACGCGAAGACGCTGCTTCTCTGGTGCTCGCCGTGTAGCCTTGTAACTGACACCGATTTCTACCCTCGGGGTCGGGGGTTGGAACCCACCGCCCTGACCCTGTCTGAGTCACCTCAGCTGCTCTAGAGCTCGGCTTCCCGTCACCACCCCCACTTCACAGTAAGCTTTTTCGGTAATGCTTCAGCTGTTTAACTAATTTGTTAATTCAGATCTCTTGTTTATGTACTCTGTCACTTTCCCCTTTCTCCTCAGTCCAGAACGGTTGTAAGCTGGGGTGTCTGAGGGTCCTGGCTCTTGTACCAAATTTGGGTAAATGGGAGTCTCCTGCTCTTTGACTCACCGATTTGGTGCGCCTTCTAGCGGCCGGAGAAGCTCTTGCCCTGGCCCAGCGTCACAGGGGAGAAACACCCAGGGCTTCCAGTTCAGTCAGACTCAGCTGCTCATATTAATGGGAACAAGATTTGCTCACAGGGTCAGAGGCAGCTCATTAGTGGAACAAGGAGTTATTTGGCTCTGGTTGTTTTTACAAGCGCCAGTGGTGAATTGCTCCTGGGACTTACCTGGAGGCCACACCAGCAGCCTGCTCTCAGGCTCATTCTGGAAGGCATTCGTTGTGTGATATTGATTAAAAGAAGGATTTCTGCACACTGGCCATCTATCTGTCCAGTTAGATGGGATGGGAGGGGGTGGGTTAGGAGAAGAGAAAGAGGAGTGGACTCTGCTTTCCCCCATTCTGCACAGTCCTTCGACCAGTGCTTCTCAACCCCAGGCCATTTTGTGCCCCAGGGATTGTTTGCAGTGTCTGGAGACATATTTGGTTGTCACAGCTTGGGGGCGCTACTGACATCTAGTTGGTAGAGGCCAGGGATGCTGCTGAACCTCCTGCAATGCACAGGAGAGTCCTCCACAACAAAGAAATACCTAGTCCCAAATGGGAGTCTTGCCAACACTGAGACGTGACGCCTGAGACTGCCCTGCATCCCCAGTGGTAGGTGCTTAGCTAGGGCAGTTAACACAGTGTCAGGATAACTTTACAGCTGGTCTGTATGGGCATCTGGGATGCGGTCTCTGCCCTCCCACTTCAGGAGTCGGGTCCCTGCCTGCAGTGTTTGCGATGGAAAAATACTTTTCTCTGTTAGTCAGAGGCACTTGGAAAGAGTCCAAGAGAACCTGTTCTAATCTGGGAAAGTTGGCAAGGATACCTGTGTCTCAGGCTGGAGGAGCTGCATTCTAGAAACCTTTCCCAAGCTGCTTAATGTCCCTGATCATTGTTCTCAGGAACTTCGCGGGACTCCTGGGTGACTTTATCCAGGCTCAGTGACCTGCAGCCATCTCATCCCAGAGTCCTGATTTCCTGGCCCGAGATGCTTCTAGTGAAATCTGGGTGGCAGATCTGGGTGCCTTCCTAGGTCAATGGCAGCCTTGGTCAAGTCACTTTACCTGTCTAGGCCTCAACTTGCTCCTCTCCCAAGTAGGATATCATAACCTGCCTGCATTCTACATAGGGCTGCCGTGAGGGTCAAATGAGTGGATCTGTGTGAAAGATCCCAACTAACTGTAAAATGCTGTCCACATCTAAGTGAGGGGTGCCTGTGGTTGAGATATGTGAGTGTATTAAGGAGTGAGCGAGACTTTTAGAAACTTTTATGTCGACAGGGTCTGTGCAGGACTTGAGACATACCAGCTTTCTCCCTGAGGGCTTATGAGCCGGCCATAGATGTTCAGTGTCCAGCTCTGAGAGGGAAAGTTTCCTAAAGTCTTTCACTTACACGTAGGCTGGCAAGTGGCTTTTTTCTTTTCATCAACAGTTAGGAAGATCTTTGTGGCCTTATAGATAGTTTTCCTGTGAAGATCTCTGATCACACTATTACTCCTTCGCAGTACACATCCCAGTTTGTAACTGTATACATCTGTGTGTGTTCTCGTTTAATGCCTAGACTGTCAGCCCTGTGAGAGCGTGTCTGTTTGCTTGTGGCTCTGTCCCCAGCACCTGGCACAGGCCTGGCACGTAGTAGAGGGTTAGTAACGAAATTGTTGAATGAATGAATAAATAGCAAGGTAAAGAGCAGCGGAGGCTTTGAAGTCAGACAGGCCTAGGTTTCTGCGTCTCAGCTCTGTTGGCATCCTGATTGTGTGGCTGTGGGCAGCCCGGGCTCTCTCCACCCTTGTTGCCACCACTGTGGATCAGGCCCCTGAAACCTCTTCCCTGGATCCTGCAGTGGATCTGGGAAAGTTGGCAAGGATACCTGTGTCTCAGGCTGGAGGAGCTGCATTCTCGAAACCTTTCCCAAGCTGCTTAATGTCCGTGATCATTGTTCTCAGGAACTTCGTGGGACTCCTGGGTGACTTGGGTCTTCCAGACCTCCTCGTCTTCCTCACTTCCTGCCCCCCTCCATCTGTTCTCCATACCTCACTTGGAAGGTCTTTATAAACCCATCATTTCACAGTCCAGTGGCTTCCCAATATTCTTATGATGAAAACGTACTCTTTCGTGGTCCCACGAGGCCCCATGTGGTCTGCCCTCTGCCTGCCGTGCCAGCCCCGTTTCATACGTGCCGGCTCTTGCCTGTCCAGCCGATCTCCACTCTGCGTCATGGATGTCCCACTGCCTTTGCACCTCATGTTCCCTCGATTTGGCACACTTATCCCTGCGCTCCTTCTTCATTTTGACTTAGTTACATCCTTTTTTTTTTTTTTCCCCCAGACCTCAGCGTAGTCATTGCGTCCCCAGGGAGGCCTTCCCTTGACGTCCCTGACTAGTCACTTTTCCCTTTTATCCGTCTCTTAGCACTACAACTTCTCCTTTGTGCTCTTTTTTGTGGATTCTTTGACTAGCTCCTCCTCCCACTAGACAGGGAGCCTTATAAGGGCAGGAGCTACATTGCTTTCATTCAGCATTATATCCCCGGTGCTTGGCAAAGTACTTGGCACATATGAGGTTGGTGCTCAATACATGTTGAACAAATGAATAAATGAGCTTATTTTATCATTAGGAAAATGGGGGAAATTTTGCTGATCTTGTTTGAGGATTGAATGAG